TGATAGTGAAAGTGAGAGTGAGGAGGAGAGTGATAGTGAAAGTGAGAGTGAGGAGGAGAGTGATAGTGAAAGTGAGAGTGAGGAGGAGAGTGATAGTGAAAGTGAGAGTGAGGAGGAGAGTGATAGTGAAAGTGAGAGTGAGGAGGAGAGTGATAGTGAAAGTGAGAGTGAGGAGGAGAGTGATAGTGAAAGTGAGAGTGAGGAGGAGAGTGATAGTGAAAGTGAGAGTGAGGAGGAGAGTGATAGTGAAAGTGAGAGTGAGGAGGAGAGTGATAGTGAAAGTGAGAGTGAGGAGGAGAGTGATAGTGAAAGTGAGAGTGAGGAGGAGAGTGATAGTGAAAGTGAGAGTGAGGAGGAGAGTGATAGTGAAAGTGAGAGTGAGGAGGAGAGTGATAGTGAAAGTGAGAGTGAGGAGGAGAGTGATAGTGAAAGTGAGAGTGAGGAGGAGAGTGATAGTGAAAGTGAGAGTGAGGAGGAGAGTGATAGTGAAAGTGAGAGTGAGGAGGAGAGTGATAGTGAAAGTGAGAGTGAGGAGGAGAGTGATAGTGAAAGCCGCCGTACTGTCGAATCCTCCGAAGAAAGTGAGAGTGAGGAGGAGAGTGTTAGTGAAAGTGAGAGTGAGGAGGAGAGTGATAGTGAAAGTGAGAGTGAGGAGGAGAGTGATAGTGAAAGTGAGAGTGGGGAAGTTTTGATGAGGATGATAGTGAGGTTTTGCGAGGTCGGCAAACCTTTCTGGAACACGTCAGAGCTGATCAGCGTCGAGAAAATTATCCTAGACCTGATCAAAGATGGGAAGACTATAGGCATGATCAGCGATGGCAGGATTACTGTAGACCTCGTCAACGATGGGAGGATTATCGTAGACACAGCCCACAACAGGGAGATTATAGACCCGAGATGTGTACCCTCAAGCCGAGGGACATCCCCAAGAATCTCATATTCAAAGACAAAGGAAGCTGGTCTTTCTTTAAGAAACGCTTTATGGCATTTACTGAAGAGTATGAGCTCTCACCAAAAGCTAGAATCGAAACACTCTGTTGGTGTGTGGAGGGACCTGCGGCTGATTTCTATGTGATGTATAAGAGACAGGGATTTGTTTATGTGTATCTGGTGTCCTGAAGGCCTTTGACAAACGCTTCGGGGAGGAAGACTTGCCCGCCGTCCTGCAAGCTAGACTGGAGACCGCCACTCAACGTGAGGACGAATCCGTCAACGAGTGGGGTGATCGAGTCATGACCATGACCCGAAAGGCATACAAAGATCTACCAAACGCCTGGATCCGTCAGCAAGCTCTTACAAGATTCTGTCTTGGTTGCCGGGATGCAGAGGCTGGGAGATATGTCCTCCACAAGCAAGTTTCTTCTCTGGCAGAGGCTTTGACTGAGTATGAACAGTATTACAGCCTGCCGAAGTTGTATGGTAAGAGTGGGAGCAGATCTCGAAATAGTGGAAAGTCCCTGATCAAGTCTGCTACCCATGTCACTCAACACTCATCATCTCCTTACTCCAAGGATGAAGATGCAGGGAGCAGAAACTGCAGGGCTGCAAAATGCCAACAAGTAAGCGAACGTTACAACCGGGGTGGTAATTCCAACTATCCCAGATCCTCCGCTCCTGCAAGGCAAGCTGCAGTCATACCCGCAAGTAAACCGGTTACAACAGACCAGAAACCATCCCCATCTCCATCATGCAACACTGAAAGAAGGTTAACCGGCCTCGAAGATCAGGTGGATGCAGTTAACAGAAAGCTGGACGCAGTATTGGATATGTTGAAACCACGTGGGGATCGATGCCTTGAATGCCAAGAGGCAGGACACTGTCGTAATAAATGTCCCAAACTCGTCTCTTCTAAACAACCTAGGCGGGTTGGCCCCCAGGGAGAGGATCCTTTAAACTAGTAGGGGTCGGAAGCCATGGCCAGCTAGCCGACCATCCTCCCCTTAGCGGCCAACAATTACTTAAAGACGAAGAAACCAAGAACGACACAGTTTCCAGGTGGGCCTAACAATAAATCTGTTAGTCCACGGAACATGCATCCTGTTCCAGGCGGGCCTAGCAATGCTGCTAGTCCGCAAAAGATACACCAAGAAACTGTAGAAACATCGACCAACTCTGACTCACCTACTGCCTCTCATTCTTCTAAACCGGGAGACAGTAATGAGTTAGCAGTAACAACAACAACAGCAACGACGACTGTAGAAGAGATAACTATCAGTAGAGTAAGATCTAATAACGCCCTGCATACGACTGCTTTAGTTAATAATATAAAAATTAATGTAGTTGTAGACACCGCAGCCGATCACACAATCCTCTCTGATAGTGTATACTTTAGCCTTAAACCAGTACCACCTATTGTGGCCAATATATCCTTCACTTTAGCAGAAAGGGAAACATCTATGCCAGGCTATAAGGTAGGACCCGTCAACTTCCGATTGGGTTCCAATGAGTATAACAGATTCTTCTACGTAGCCCCTATAAATGATGAAATGCTCTTGGGTGGGGATTTCCTCCATCCTAATAAAGCAATTATTGATTTCGGGAGGCTACTACTAACCATTGGTGATAGCACCATATC